GCGCCTGCGAGCTGGAGGGTGGGCCGACCCGCGAGACACGGAGGTCGTGCGGGTCGGCCTACCCTCGCCCCTGCCGCGCCCGCCAAACGCACCTTGGGCGAGGAGATCTTGAGGTAGACGATGGTGGGGGCGAGCGACGTCTTGGCGAGCTGCGACGGGTGGTTGATGGTGTCGCAGTCGAGCACGACCAGTTGCAGCGTCCTGGCCAGCTCGAAGATGCGCTCGATCTCGGCCTGCACCTCGGCGAGGCAGTTGGACCGCGAGTTGGAGCGCTCCATGATGGCCCTCTTGGACGGGTTGTTGAGCAGCGAGCGCTTGGCCAGCGAGATGTCGGCCATGACCCTGGTGATGATGATCCTGGCGAGACGAAACGGACAGATTAATTTCACTTTTCCAGGAAAAAAAATGTAAAAAATTGAAATATTCGCAGAAAATTGAAAATAAAAAAAAATATTGAAGAGAAAAACACATTTAAACAAACAAAAATTTCCCCCAAAACTTTTCTTTGGAAAATTAAAATTACTAGGAACAACAGAGCGCAAAATAGAGTGATCGTGCGGGAAACCACGCACCTGCCCTCGAAGCGGTGCTTGAGGAAGTCGAAGAGGGCCTTCTGCATCATGTCCGTCACCTCGTAGCCCTTGAGCGACGGCCCGACGAGGACGACGGGCCGCATGGAGGGCACCACGTCGTAGGGCGTGGTGGCCTCCTGCTTCTTGAAGAAGGGCTTCCGCTTCTCCTTGGTCGGCGGGGTGGTGAGGGAGGCGGGGCCCGTCCCGCGGTTGAGGGAGTCGCTCTCGTCGCCTGCGCCACCACCCATCCCAACTAAAATCACAACACCATTCCCTCACCGACAGTCAGCCGCCGAGACGCCAGGATACACGCACGCACACACGCACACACACACACACACGCGCGCGCGCGTTTGGACACACAAGCTCAAACAAACAAAAGCAAGGGGACGTTCAGTCAAGGTCAAGAGGAAATAGTGTTTTTTTTTTTTAAGTTTAGACACAGAAGTTTAAATGTATTCCTCCTCTTGCGTTCAATAAAAGCAACGCGTGACTTTTGGTTGTGGTTACAAAGATGCATGGGCATAGAGAAAGGTCTCTATCGGCCTAACTACAAGGGCAAGGACCAAGACCAACGGGCGTGCGAACTGCACTATACGATAAAACGAGACGGTAAGGGTGAGAAATTCGCTGACTTCTTGTCGATCACAGTATAAGGCAGCGATATAAATACATCAGTCGAGAGGATATGGGTCCAACCCGGCAAAACGCATGCAGCAGGAAAATTCACACTGCTTTTTGGGGGGTGTCAGTAGGAGCTATGCCAATCGATGCACATACATAAATTACTTAAAATTTCTCACACTATTTTGAATTAATTTTACACAGTTATGCAAGAATTTCAAAAGAAATGTACGTGAAAATATTAACGTAATAAGCTTATGCAATGTAAATATATATGTGCAAAAATAGTACATAAAACTTGAGCGAGTGCGCCTTTGAAGGGGCGCCGTTAGAGAGGCGCCATCGCCTCGGATCGGTGCCGCCCGAACTGCGTCGCCTTGAGCCAGATACAAACTAAAACCGCCGTTCCCGAGAGGCGGCTCTCAGCGGCTTAAAGAGAAAAGTGAGTACGAGAGAGAGATAGAGAGAGAGACAGAGAGTGAGACAGAGAGAGATGCTTTCTCTGGAGTTGTCTCGCGGGTCCGAGGGCGGCCAAAGCTGCGACCTATACATCTCCCCGAAGGACTCTTCTCGCTCATCTGTCGCACCTGCCCTTGACAACTAAGATCGTCTCTCTACACAACCAGGCCAGGGTCGCACGAACCGCTCCGGACCGGAGGGGGACAGGCAAGACAGGAAGTAAACCGGAAGTCGATTCGAGGTGCAACCTCGCGGTATATGAGAAATGGTCATGGCCTTGCACACACACACACACACAAACACACTCATCGCCATGGCCATCCCTCAAACACGCGTGTAGGACCCCGTGCGTCATTTTTATGGGAGGGGTAGTTTTTTCACGTCATTTAATTCAAGGCTGACAGCCAAACGATTCATTCTGCTAGAATGATTCAGTTACGCGACTTGCAAAAAACAACAGCAGGCATCGAAAAATTGAATTGAAAGGAAGTTGGGGGTTAAACGAGGGGAAAAACACTCCTTTGCAACCGACGTAAACTTTCGCACGATCGCTTTCAGTTAAAGCCACCGTCGCAAGCTGCTGTTTTGCACTCACCTAGGTTGGACGAGGAGGACGTCTTGGAGGCGTACAGCTTGGAAGACCGAGCCTGCGTCTGCTGCTGACGCAGGGTCTCCAGCTTCACCGGGGAGGGGATGAAGCCCACGTCACACCCCTCCCGCACCAGCCGCCCGATCCACCAGTTGTTGTCGTACTTCTCCTGCAGAGGCAGAGAGAGAGAGAACCGCAAAATAAGAAGAAGACATAGGCATTTCAGCAGGAGGGTTATTGGAAAACAATTTGCCGATCCGAATGTAAGGGCATTAGAGACTACACGCCCCGTCACTGAGGAGGGGGGGGGGGGGACTCGAACGTTCCGCGGACCAGTAGCGATAAGAGACATGTTTTTGCGTCAGCACGGTTCACTTTTAGTCGACGCTAAAACTTCATTACTTTTTTTAAGGAATGAAGACATAATTTTTACAATTTGCATGAAATCACAAAATATTTCTCTTTTTCAAAATGTTTGCTTTTTTTTTCTCGGTCTGTTGGTTTTGTTAGGCACTTGCCTTGATGTGCAGGAAGTCCCGCACGTCGAAGGAGATGGCGCTGCCGTGGACGGGCGAGTCATCGTCGATCGCGGCATCGTAGCTCACGTTGGTCCGGACGGCGAACGCCACCGGCTTGGACTGCAAAGAGAGACGGGACCGTTAAACGAAACACACTCCTTTGCAAAGTCGGACAATAACATATGTATCACGAAAAAATAGGCCACACTCTAATTCTATAGGGTGAACCTACCTAACACGGATCAGGTACCAAACATGGATCATTTTTGCTGTTTGGCGGGTTCTAACTGCTGATTGGGTCGACCAAATTAGAAATTTCAAAGTTCCTTAGGTAGACGACTAATACATGCAATAAATTTTATCTGTGACAATTTATTGTCTCCTCGCTCCCCTTCCAACGCATTCCGTCTGTCACACACACCATTCCCGTGCACATCTTGGCCGCTGCTACCTCACCCCCCCCCCCTACTCCCTTCTCTTTAAATATGCCCACCAGTCCGATGAACATAACTTGCGAAGACATTACAGTCACTTGGGCTCAGTGGTGGCGCCTGGCGCTGCCTCTGGCTAACTTGGCTAGCCTGCCGGCGGGCTCTGCTTTAGCTACGGGGCGGCTATGGATGTGCTGGCGCGAGCTGGCGCGAGCTGGCGCCACTGCGGCAGGAGCGCGCGCCGCCGGCCCGGCGCCACTTTGCCGTGTGTGTGTGTGTGTGTGTGTGTGTGTGTGTGTGTGTGTGTGTGTGTG